ACCTTTCATGATCTTTGACTTTGGTGAGGAGCTAAAAGTTACATGGTACCAGATCTGGTCAGTAAGGTAGATGAGTACACACTGTGATGTATTAAATGACAAAAGTTATTGTAATTGTTTTGAATTGATTCAGGATCTTGAAGTAGCCATGAAAAGACATGCATGAAAGAGGATTTCCAGAACTTCTTCAGAAAGTGGGAAGAAGATAGGATAAATGTACTTGAAGCTGTAGGGAATATTTTGAGGGGGACTAATGGCAATTTAATTTTTATTGTAATTTTTTTTTTAGCTTAAGCATTTGTTGTAGTTTTTGACCTATAGAGCCTAACCTTTTACCCCTAATTACCTTGGTTTACATTTTCTAAGAATAGGCCATAGTAGTTACCAATGTCAGTGACCTTAAATGTAATGTTGATTAATTAATCTACCATTAGTTTTTCTATTAACCCAATAATGTCCTTTGTAGTATTCTCTTACAAGAAAGGATCTAGTCTAGAATCTTGTATTACATTTTATCTTCATGGCCCTTCTGTTGGAATATTTTCAGAGACCTCATCTTTATGACCAAAAAAAAAAAAAAAAAAAGTAAAGCAGAACATTTCTCATTTGAGATTGATCTTCTATTTCTTCATTACACTCTTCATTTCCCCTTTTAGATTCTGTGTCTTTGGGGAATCATATCTAGAGGCAAATAATGCCCATCTGTCCCTCATTTGTGACGTTAATTTTGATTACCTGTTCAGGGCTTTGTTCAATTTCTCTAATACATAATTACTTCTTGCCACCAATGAGAGGTCGATGAGAGAATCCGCTAAGATCATATATTATTCCCATCTAAATTTCTTTATCTTTAGGTCCAATTATGATTCTTGCCTAACTTCATCTTTGGATCTTTGCCATAATGTCTGCAAAGGATAATTTTCCAACTGCTGGGATTAGAGGCATGTGGCACTATGCGTGGCATGCTTACAAATCCCAAAAGGTCACCTGGGTGTGTCTGAGTGGGTCATGGAGGTAGGGCCTTTGGTATCATACAGGGCCCCTCACTCATTCCTCTCAGGCACTGTCCCTTCCTCTGCTCCCAACTATCATAAACTAAGTAGTCTTGCTCCACCATGCCCTTCTGCCATGATGTTCCTACCTTGGAGTCACGTGACAATGGACTAATCTCCTCCAAACTATGAGCTAAATTAAAACCTTTCCTACTTTAAATTGTAGGTGTTGGGTATTGTGTCTCACAGACAGGAAAGTTGCCTAGTACCATACAGTAACAAGGAGGGACAGCAGAAAGATCCATTATGACCACCACCCAAAATGTGTATGGCTCACAGGATTATGGGAACAGAGTAGGCTGTGACTACTTATTGAACAGTGACTGTACTAAGTCCTTCTAAGCTCTGGAGGGCATGTTGGTACCACAGCTTTTGTTGAAGATACTTCTGGGTCACCAGGGTTAGGTTTAGCTATATTGTGTTTTTTCAGTTTAAGGCAGAGAAGTTGGTGTTATTTCAGGAAAAACAATCAATGTACTTTAAAGTGTTTCGAGCGCTAGAGGAGGAAAACCTGGTTATCTAAAATATCTAATTATACCCAATTCCTCAACAGCACCTATCCTTTCCTAATCTTGTTAGAAAAGCAAAGCATTACTGCAACTGCCTTTAAAGTTAATACTGAAAATAATTAGTTCACACAAACATTTGTTTGTACACTAACTGGCTTCCCCTAGAATTGAAATAAATCCCTGTTGACCCATACCTGGTTTACAGTTACCCTGTGAGAAGCAGCTTAATTTTAAACATTTATGTAAAGTATAAAATTAACATGATGTTCATGGTTGAAGGAACTGTGTATCATTTATATCCTTGGTGTCTCCATACTTACGGCATATCTTGGCTGGGAAGCATGGCAGTTTCTCTCTTACCCTTGTGTTTGTTAACTGGAAAATGTCTCTCTTTGAAATCTTCTTATGTATCCTACCCCTCAAAGTGAAATCTGGGTATGTGGCTTTGCCTACATTTTAAGTCAGTTAAAACATAACTGATAGATTTCTTCAAAATGTCCAGCTACTATCTATATATTTGGAAAATAGATTAAAGAGAATCAATAGCAGCATATATTGTTACTAAAATTATGCTGGTTGTAATAAAATTGTTATTTAAGTCATCTTTCTTACAAGGCCAGTTTGATTTTGTTTTGTCAGCTACAGTGACATGGATTGTTTGTTCATACCGTTTTGCAATGGTGGTCTCTTATCTTTGAACGATTTGTTCTATGTCTTAATTAGTTCCTTGGCTTACCTCTTAGAAATAATTTTGATGGATAGTTACAAATGGTGATGCCTCTGGAATGACTTTTAAGCATATTGAATTCTTATTGATTTCTATTTTATATAATGGCATTTTTACTTTATACATTAGGACTTTGTGTTATACTAAGACTGCATGTTTCTTGTCTTTTGGCAAAAACAAATGGAACTCATAAAACAACTTACACAATGTAACTGTGACAAAAGTGCTCTGCTAAACAAAATTTGGTGATGGTTCTCCGTGAGTGTAAAAATTATCTTCACTTATGTATTGGTGGACAGGAAAGAACGCTGACTTTGTAAAATAATTCCAAAAATATAGCAATGACAACAACAATAACAGAGATACTGATAATGAAGTTTTTTGTTATTTCCATACATAAAATCTCACCAAATTTGGAAATGTGAACTTAACACTTAAAGTTAATAAAAGTATGGTTTTACAGGTTATCAGCATGAGAACCAGAAGTTGGGCAATTATTTTGAACTCAAAAGATCGGTAATTATTTGAACTCAAAAGTTCGGTAAGCAGAATTTAGTATACCCATGGCCCAGCTCACAAGTCATTATGGCTTTTCTCTTCAAAGTCCAAATGAAAACTTCACTGCTTTGACAGTAAACTGTGAAAATTATTGGCAGATGTAGGAACACAGGCTCATTTATTTTTATGAAACCCTAATCTGAGTTTAAAGTAACTGTAAGACATCCATATAAAATAGAATTCCCTATCATGTCTCAGTTTTCCTATTTCTTAAAGGCAGTTAATTACTTGTGAAAATGGGATATGAACATATATAAAAATTGTTGTGTGTTGTTGGCAGACAGTCAACCATCTTTTCCTTAATCTCTTACACCGAACGCAAGAGTAAACATTTGTCCAACTGAATAGCTGGAAGTTTTTCCTCCAAGTGCTAATTCATTTTGCCTGTTGTTTCTCTGGGACTTGAAGCAATTAACATCTATGGGAAAACTTCCTGTACACATAATGCATTTCTACCCCTTTTACCAGTAATCTTATTTCCTTTTTTTCACATCAATGGGGGGGGGGCGGACAGGGAGTAGCTTTTCTTTACTTGTCGTGGTGATAGGATTTAATATGTTCTTTGAAAGTGAAATGGAAATAAAAATCATTATAGGCTTTGCTGTCTATCTGTTTTTTAACTTACTTTTGGGTGTGTGTACTTTAAAGAAGTAACCCTATTTCAGAGAAAGGGGCTTGGAGAGCACTTGATTCGTTGACTATAGGACGCCATCAGGTCGTGTAGTCAAAGGAGAAAGTAGCATTTTTCAGAGTACAAGATAAATCAGTTCGGTTTAGTGGTTATTAAAGGAAGGAAAGAAAGCCAATGAGGGCAGTCAGTTCGGATCCTCTCCTGTTTATACTCAATTTGAGGCTGGTTCAGTATTCCTTCCACATTTTACTTCACACTGCCCTTCAAGAGCCACAGATCATCAAATAACCATCCATGGTGGCTCACTTAACACCTTGCACCGACAGTCACACTGCATCCAGCGATGCTAATTTTAAGTAGGCCACCCAGGGGGGCCGGGGAGATGGCTCAGTGGAATAAGCGCTTCCCTGGCAAGCGCAAGGGCCTGAGTTCAGTCCCCGGTTCCGCAAAAAAAAAAAAAAAAAAAAAAGTAGGCCATCCAGAAGGAGGGGCACCCTCTGCAGCGACACCCTTCCCCCACATACAACAAACCCATTCCTTTTCCCTTCACGGAAACATTTAATATTTTAGAGCCATGTTCATGCAATGACATGAAAACACTGTTCACCCGGAACTCATCAATCCGAGAGTGGGCGATGCCAAATTTCTTTCATTCGCTCATTAAACGAAAGGTATACCCTGCATCACGCCTAGAAAGGCCTACTTTAACACTTCCCAGTCTCGGGGTGAGAGCACCGATCATTGTAATTTACGATCCCCACGGAAGGGGGAACTCTTCACATGTGCAGCCGCCTCATTTGTGCGCCGCGAATTCCCAAAACCCCGCCAGCGTGGGCTAGATATTTGATCTCAGGGCCCAGTGTTCTCAGACTCCGTCCTCTGGCCTCAAAGGTGAGGTGCGGGCGCCGAGGCCCACGCCCCGTCGACTGGAGCTCGCGGGGCGGAGGCAGGAGGGGTGCGGACGGCCGTTGCGGACGCCCCACCTGTCCAAGCTCCGACCCTCGCTCTTCCCTCCGAGCGGCAGGCGCTGGGCGGCTCCGGTCCGGGCCGCCGTTGGGCTCAGCGCGGAGGGAAGAAGGGCGGGCGG